GTCGTCCAGTAGTTCCTTCTGTAGCTCCTCCAGCCATGTCCACAGCTGCAGGGCAGACAGGGCACCGTGAGTGAGTGCAGAGACTGGGACACTCACATGGGGAGGATGCTGGGGGCAGACTGCTCCCAGAGAGAGGGAAGGAAGGAAGGAGGGGGAGGAAAGAGAGGAAGGAGTGTCCCCAAGAGTCCGGCAACCAGTGGAACACATGCACAAAAAGAGCAACATGTCACAGCAGCGGAGCAAAAATAAACAGGCAGTGAAGCGGAAGAGGCTGTCACAAAGGAGAAAAAGGAAAGGGAAGAGAAGCCGCTTTCCCTGTTTGCTGAGGCTCTATCTGGAGTTCAGTGGAAACACCAAGAGTCTCTCAGACAACAGGAACTTCTCCTGAGCACAGAGGCATTCTAAGACAGGTCTACTGCTTCAGCTTCAGCAAAGGCAAGACACTCCATCATTAAACCACCACTCAGACATTAGTGCTTTGGGTCTCTTGGAGCATAGGAGAACACACTGAGGTTAAATTACTCTCCATCACAACTGTGGGATGGAGGATGTGCTCCTGAGATAACTATATCCAGTTCAAATACCTAGGACTAGACGGTCACACAGTGTGGTCATCCTACTATGGTAAGACAGTGTGTCAACAGGAGGTCTTCCTTCTCCTGAGTGGGAATTGGAACCTAAATTCCATGTCTCTATTTTCCAACATGGAAAAGCTTAGAACATCAATTCTGCGCTACCACCTGCTCGTTGGATTGGAAGTTCCACATACATAAAATATGTAACACCTGCTACTTGCAAAGCAATAGACATTTTAAACTTGGTAGACCAATTTAAAATAAGAAAAGTATTGGCGAAGGGCTTATTTCTAAGTCAAGTTATCCAAGGTCCTGAAAGTTAATTTTACTAAAGATACTAAATATCTGTTAACTTTTCTTGCATCGTTTATCTGGTTTTGTTCACACTATCAAGTTTCATACAATAATTTTACTTAGAGCAGCCTTTAGATGAAGGCTGCTCAGCTCACATTGTCGAACAAGGGAAACAACAGGCCCCAGGTGGAGCAACCTGCCAGACCCTTCCGGATACCCTGCACCATCTTTGGAGGGTTACTGTCAATAAAGACCTCATTCTCCACTTGATCGTCAACACAGTAGCTGCAATTATGACAGGAGGGACAGCAGCATCATGGCACTGAAGATCTTCCAGGTGGCTGTAAGCTTCCCTATGGGAAACATTCTCACCTGCTGCAGGCTGTGCTGTGTTTTAGTTCTAGACAACACTGTACAGCCCTCTAGCAGGGGGACCTGACAGCCACCTGACACTTCTGCATGCTAGCCCTCCAGTGCACAGTAGTGCTCAGTGGTACTCTACAGGAGGGAGTAAGTACCACTTACTTGAGGGTCGGAGTAAGGCCATCTGGGCTCCAGAGCCTCTTTAGCAAAGCATTGCCATGGCCCACACGAATCAGCTAATTTCTCTAAGACCCAGCTTGGTGGGGCAAGGATCCAAAGAATCTCCATGCCCACAGAGGAGTTACTAAGACAACAGGTGAAGGAGAATGCAGATAGGTGTGCTCCATCACCTAAGTACTCCGAAATTAACTACAGGAATGGATTCAAATGAACTAAAACAGACAGGGTTTTCTCATGGAAACAGAGCATATGCTGCTACGAGCAATAACCAGCCACTTAGCAAAATAGATTGCACTATTTTACTGCCAAGTCAAAACACTTAACCCAACAGCTGTGATGATCAAGGCAGCGGACTTCTAAAGCCAGCAATCTGCCTTCCACAAGACAGGCGGCGGTGGGAAGGGCAGGGGACCAACCAGGCACACAACTCATCCACTTGCTGCCAGTGACAAACACTCATGATCACATGCCTACTACAGCCCTCCACCCTCCCAAGATGGATATTTATAAAGATGTGTCTCTCTCCATCTGCACTGATTCTGTTGAAAAGCAATGGGGAAAGAAATCACTGACTTCACACATCCTGAAACCTCAGTCGTGTCTTCTGCTTGAGCTCATGTGCTTTGCTGATGTTGTCCTGGCAATGTTGATGCATAAGTGAGCGGAACTGCCCACCAGGCTGGCAGGTCAGTTCCTTTACACTGCTCAGCATCTTTCCTATGCACTATGTTGTACGAGCCTGGGGCACCTGGCTTGCCCTGGGGATGGGTTGGTAGCTCTCCCCCATTCACTGTGGCTTAAACCTAGAATTCCCCTTGTTGGACGAGGAGGCAGTGGGATGCCTACTTGGGTGGGGACATCTGCCACAATCCTCTTGTCTAGACATATGCTACCAAAGGCACCCATTGAGTTACAAAAGATTTAAACCATCTTTTATACATTGATATTGGGGTGACTAGAAACAGCCCTTGGAGTTGCCCTACTGTGCAGCACCCAGGTGTGCACGCATGCAACCCCACAGTCACAGGAGTCAATGCCCCTGCCACAAACGACTGCAGTGGTCTATGAGGACAGTCTGCCTGAGCTCAAAACCAACTGGGACATTCTAGAGCAGAAGCCCTGGTGCTTTCCTTACCTTGGCCTACAACTTGGTTTTTCTTATGGACTGTGGGTCTGATGTGAATGCCTGCTCAGGGCAGTGTGGCAGACTGGACGGGATTATGCATACAGAGCGAGTGACCAGTAAATGCTAGTCATGTTTGCTAGCTTTCTTCACAGAAATAAAACCTCATAATA